ATTGCCTCAGGACACAATCCAATCTTGTAGACGGAGTCCTGCCTTACTAACACAACTGCCACCCATCCTCCCTCATTAACATCACAGAGGCAGGATTTACAACATATAAGAAAATCACACAATACCAGGAATCATGGCCCAACCAAATTGATACACACAATTTTTGGGGGACATAATTCAATCCATGACAACGCTAAATCAAGAAAAAGGTAACTTTTAAATGGTAGGAAAATTGCTCTTTATACTGTCAGTAGTGGCAGCTGTGGCAGTGGCCACTGTGGCAATAGCAGCAGAATGTGAACCATATGGTCACACATAAGGGGCAATTCCCTGTCTCTGAAGTGGGCAAAATAGACTTCGCTTTTGCTGGCAGACTATACTGTGTGTATGTTATGGTCTGTCTGGGGGCTGCCTGAAGGAGTGAAGAGGGTGAGCCTCTCCATTCAGCCATCCTCTGAGCTCCTGCAGGATAGGGGAGCAGCAAACAATGCCAGTAGATTGTGGCTACACTTAATTACCTGGGACTAATTAGTGTGACTGAGGCATACAATAGACTTCTAAGGGCCTAAGGAGAAGTGCTGGTGTGAGAGTTTCTTGCAGAATTTAGCCCTTTTCAAAAATACTATATGTGAAACTAAGAAAACTATATATATGTGCAGGGCAAAGTGCATGTTCACCAAATATCTAACAACACTCTATGCTTTCACCATGGGCTGATCCCTAACAACAGATCAAAGTTGGGAGAGGTGTTTTTGTTTGTTTATGGTTGCTGCTTTGTTTTGTGATCTATGGTTTTTTTTTGTTTGTTTGTTTGTTTGTTTTTTTAAATCTTCCCTCTTTTTTCTTTTCTCCTTTTTTACTGGAGAACAAGGAAGTCTCTTTCAAAACACTAGCTGGGCACAGACTAGGGAACAGAGTCTATGGTGTTCACAAATGTCCAGGAGGACAGTCATTGTGAAAATAGAGGAGTCACTGAGCAGATGTTAAATATATATATTCCAAACCCCAAATTTCCAAACCCCAGAGAAGGGGAAAAATCTGAGACTCAGTGCTAATACATTATAATATTCAAATGTTACAATTTGAACAAAAAAATAAGGCATACAAAGAAACAACAGAAGGATGGCCCATTCATTTTCAAGCTATTTGTGTCCTTGAGTCTATAGTGTCTCTTGTAAACAGCATATAGTTGGATCATGTTTATTTTTTAATTTTAAATCCATTTTGCCACTCTCTGCCTTCTATTTGAAGCATTTAGTCCATTTACATTCACTGTAATTACTGATAAGAACTTATTTCTACCATTTTTTTTTGTTTTTTGTGTGTCTTAAAACTTCCTTATTTTATCCTCTAATACTGCCAGTTTTTGTGTTTTGTTGTTTTTTTTCTAGTGAGCCACTTTGATTCTCTTGTCTTTTCCTTTTTTTTTTAAGATTTTTTAAGATATTCTCTTAGTGGTTACCATGAATATTATATTTAACATCTTGCATTTATAAGAATGTAGGGTGAGTTGATACCAACTTAACTTCAGTAACATAGAGGAAATTCTATACCTATACAATTCCTCTCTTCCCATTTTGCTATTATCACAGATTACATCTTTATATTTCATGTGCCCTGTAGCATAATTTTATACTTTTCTATACATATATCCTTTACAAAGCATGAAGGATTAACAGAATTATCAAGCATGAATACCTAATTACTAGTCCTTATACTTGCCCATGCCATTACCTTTACTGGAAATCTTTGACTGGAAATACTGGAGTTATTTTCTAGTGTCATTTCTCTTCCATATGAAGGACTCCCATTAGCATTTTTTGTAGGGCAGTCTGATAGATATGTACTTTCTCAGCTCTGTTTGTCTGGGAAAGTTTTAACTTCACCCTCATTCTTGAAGGGCAGTTTTGGTGGGTATGGTATTCTTGGTTGACATTTTTTTTTTCTTTCAGCACTTTAAATATATCATTCCATTTTCTTCTGAACTCCAATATTTCTGAGGAGAAATTGGCACTTAATCATATTGGGGGATTCTTTATATGTGACTGTTCTCTTCTCTCTTGCTGCTTTCAGAGTTCTCTCTCTAATTTTTGAGAGCCTAACTATGATGTGTCTTGGTGTAGATCTCTTTGAGTTTATCCTGCTTGGGGTTCTTTGAGCTTCTTGGATGTGTAGATTCATGTCCCTCATCAGATTCAAGAATTTTGCT